ATTAACCTGTAGTGTTAAAGTCTGGTATTTAATTATGTTCGTCAGTTATCTCTTTTTTTTAATTTCTATTTTCTGTTCACTTATCATATTTTTTATTATTTTATTTTTTATTTTTTTTTATTTTTTTTTTTATATATCTATCTATCTATCTATCAGTATATTTCTCTGTATGTATGTATGTATGTATGTATGTATGTATGTGTAATAACATGTATGTATGTATGTATGTATGTGTATGTATGTATATATGTCCTTACAAGAAAAGAATAAAAATAAAACACAAAATAAGTTTCAATATAAAACATTTTATTTGCGAATGTCTCCGTGAGGCAGCAATGACTAGTCAAACATGAGATAAATAAACACTCCAAATATAAACACAGAGACATAATAAATAATAAACAAGAATAATTAGAAAAGACCAGTTACATATTTTTGACATCTTGAAACATCCTAACGATTTACTGAAGAATAATAAACAAAAAAAAAAACATTACAAAAATAATAAGAAAAAAAATAAACAAAAAATAAGAAAATACAAAAAATATAAACCAAAAATAAGAAAATTAAACCCAAATAAAAGAAATAATTGTTTAACCTAAGGCCTAGAAACACACCAACACACGTATCAACAGACATAAACTGTACGAAGCATTGTTGAAATACAGAAATGGCTTTTTTATGTATTTATCAATATTAATACCACAAGAAATCTATACACGCGCCATACATATTTTGGAGAGAGAGACCAGACAGTGAATATACACCCATCTCATAACTGGTATAAGAATATGGCATTATTATTTTATGTATGACTAATAGAAATGGAGTATAACGGAGAAAAGATGTAATTTTTAGACTTATTTAAAGTTAAGATGAAATATATTGACTTAAGTTTACATAAATATTCAATGGATTTTATGATGGTGTCAGCCTGTAGTATAATGGTGTCAGCCTGTAGTATAATGGTGTCAGCCTGTAGTATAATGGTGTCAGTTTGTAGTATAATGTCAGCTTGTCGTATATTGTTGTCAGCTTACAATATAATGGTCTCAGCCAACAGTATAATGGTGTCAGCCTACAGTATAATGGTGTCAGCCTACAGTATAATGGTGTCAGCCTACAGTATAATGGTGTCAGCCTACAGTATAATGGTGTCAGCCTACAGTATAATGGTGTCAGCCTACAGTATAATGGTGTCAGCTCGTGGGATATAAACATTAACACAGTTGAATATAATGATTAAAATCGTATTAAAAATCTTATTAATTCTTATTTTGGTTGAAGAATATATTAAAAGTTCCCTAAAATAAGAGAACATCTGCCCTGTTGTCTTGGCTACAGTATGGAACACTGAATTAATTTAGTCATTATGCATGGCTAATTAAGTACAACAGTATATCAAATTAATGCTGACTTTAAGTATATAATTACCATCTATATTATCTTCATACTAATATTCATTTATTTATTTATTCATTTCTATATTTGATATTTGCTACAATTTTATATAGAAGAAAAATAATAAATTCGATTTTCATTGACAAGAGATTAAAGAAAATTACATCGTCTCTCCACTATGGCATTAGTATACAAAATAATAATAATAAAAAAAATATATAAATTGGATAAAAGTAAACGCTGAGAGCAAAGTAGCGGAGTATAACAGCATGGCGTGGCGGAGTTATACAATGGGAAAATGGACAAAAAATCATTGGCACAGCCGTCACTTAGTAATATGGGTGACTAAAATGTGGCTCCCGGGCTGTGCTGGTCTCTTTATAAAGTCTGGCTTTGTGGGGGGGAGAGGAGGCAGGAATAACTGGACGCTCATTGGTCGACGGATGAGATGTGGGAGGCTTATTGAATGTTATTGGTCGAGGGATGAGGAAAGGGAGGAGCTTATTGGATGTTAGGGATAGAGGAATGAGGAATGGGAGGAGCTTATTTGTTTCTCTCTACACCTAGAGACACTTGATTGGTGGCTATAAAGGTTAAGAGGACTAGCCAATGAGACAGAGGCACCTCCACTTTATTCTAATTGGAGGTTGTTCAGTAGTTAGCCAATGAGAAAGAGGTAGCACCAAATTAATCTATCCTGATTGGTAAGGGTTAAGATAAACAGCTCCACTTTAGTTTATCCTAATTGGTGGAGGGAAAAAAACTAGCCAATGGGAGAAGATTAGTTCTATTTTACTCTATTCTGATTGGTGAAGGTTCAGTAGCCAGCCAATGAGAGTCGCCGACACAGCCTCAGGGAACACAGAAGCACATCGCCACCAGTAAGCTTGACTAATCCTATCAAGCACCGAGGCCTCTACACACCCCCTGCGGCCTCAAGCTGCCTCGTGCTGTGAGCTGACGACACGGCAAGATACACACTTCATTTTTCCCGAGGGGTACTCAATCAAATGGGCCCCTGAGTCTTAGTAGGCCCCAGTCATAATAGGGCCCATTTTCTATAGGTCCTACTCATAGTAAGTCCCAATCCTAATAGGCCTAAGTCCTAATAGACTCTAGTTTCAATGGGCCTCAGTTTTAATAGGCTCCAGTACTAATAGGCCTCGGTGTTAATAGCTCCCACTCCTAATAGGTCCCAGTTCCAATTGACCCTAGCCTAACATACAGAACCCATTAGCACCGGAGTCTATTAAAACTGGTGTGTATTAGAATTTATCAAGACGGGCGTAATAGGACTGGGGCCCAAGCGTGGAGACAACTTACAGAACCACACTCTTAGTACAGGTTTATGTTATCAGTCTACCACACGACACACCAGACCTATCCCACAAGTTATTATTAGTGTTGTGAGCTTAAGACATGGCATAGAAAGACATACCAGCGTCAACAGAGGCTCCCACAACCTGACTTATGAATCACAGAAAAGTTCAAAATAATTCTAATGAGCTAAACATAAATTGTTCTTTTTTTTCTTATAAACTCATAGGAGGAATGTTTGTGTTATTATTATTATGAGTGTTGTGTCGTCAGCTCACAACACATCAGGGGTGGGATGTATGGCCCAAAAGTACTCTATTCATTAACACAGGAAGGAATTATCGGTGAAGTGAACCATATAAGACTGGCTCACAGAATATACAATTGTAAAAAAAAATAATAATAATCTAAAAATAATAATAAAAAAATCCTCACAGAAATACATTTTTTACAGAAGTCATAATCTCGAATATATATATACTGTATATATAATATGTATATAAAATAATGCTCACAGGATAATATTATAATTTCATGTCTTAGAGGAAATATTATAATCACTAAAACACAATATTTCTCAGAGAATGTTTTAAACCAAGGTAATGCACACCTGTTTGTAGTAATTATCTATTAATTAAAGATATTTCAAGTCACACTGGAATGTATAAACCATGAATAAGACATACTACTCATGGGAAGTATATTCATATGGCTATTATACACGACATGATGGGATATACCACAACATAGTATAATTAGCGAATATATATCAACTAATATATGAAATCTCAGTATACTGACGAATCCAGATTAATTCACATCTCAGATTAGAAAAAAACAAATATATGAAATAAATTTTTTTTGAATGGCCAGAAAATATAGCGAGGTGATATATATATACAGTAAACAAAATAAACTCCAAAGAAATTAGTTTTTTTTAAAGGCCCCAAAAATGTGAAATAGGGAAACTTGGATAATTTAACCAAATGACGTAAACCATAAAAAAAAGTCAAATTTTCTTTCCTTCCTCTCCACAACAGAATCATAACAAAAACAATAACAACAAAACTAACACAACAAAAACACAACTTAACAACTAAACAATGGTAGCGGGATAAGCAATGACATTTGGGGATCAGGAAATTGACAAAAAAAAACAAAAAAAAACACGACTTTTCTTCTTTTCCTTCACCTTTCTCCTTTACTATATAAGTCATCAACTGTTCATAATCTTGTCATAAAAGTTGAGAGAGAAAAGAACCCACATCATAGTAGTATATCCTTGACGACCTAAACTTACACCTTACTTAATGCTTCTGGCTATATACACATTGTACAGGGGGGAGGGATATATACACGAGAAGTATCTCCTAAAAAAAACAACAGAAAATGGAGATGCCTTGTTGACAGTCTCCTTCTCTTCTCTCTCTCTCTCTCTCTCCCTTAGTCACCGTCTCTCTTTCCCTGGTTTACTGTCTCTTTTTCCCTCGTTTACCGTCTCTCTCTTTCGTTTACCGCCTCTTTCCCTCACTTATCGCATCTCTTCCTCATTTACCGTCTCTTTCCCTCACTCGTCGTCTCTCCCTCACTCACCGGCTCTCTCCCTCACTCACCGGCTCTCCCTCACTCACCATCCTCCTCTCCATCACATACTACGGATGATGACAAGGGTGAGAGAAGTTTGACTCATTATTATTGTTCTTCTGTTCTGTTTTATCATTCCATCTTTGTCTTTTATGGAGATTTACTTTCTGCTAAACTGTCCACGTAAGGAAAGGTTAAGAGAGCCTATGTCTGCTATCACTGTGTCTAAATTCTGAGAGATATATCACTGTCTTCTAAAAGTGTTAAACTATTTTCAATATTTTGTTTTTTATAGAAGGAGCACAGAGTTTTATATTCAGGTTCTCTGTGTTTATTTTATGGTCGGACAACACAGGTATTTTTATAACCGATCTATAAAATGTTGACTTTTATTTTTTTTAAGGGTAACTCAAGTATTTATCTAGGATATGTAAATTTAACACAGAACATGACCAGAATTTCTTGATCATCGGGAATCAACTTTTTTTTTGTATTCTGTCATAAACAAAAGCTTCTCAGTCACTAAATATTACTTCTATATTTTTTCCTATCTGGTGAAGTATGTCAGTAAATATTCACTTCAGCCATAAAAGAGATTTATTAGAAAAATGGTCAGAAATCTATTGGTGTCTTAGGAATGTACACATGTTTTTCTATCCACTTGATCACTGAGGACTTCAAGTCACTCTCGAGGAGATGTTGCCTCAACCACTGTGGGACAATTAGGAAACCATTGTCAGAGTCGTCAGGGCATTTTTTTGTCTCCGTTTTAGCTCCAGTTTAATGTTTTCACGGGTGGCGGGTGTAGAGTACGTGGGTGACGGTGATGCCGACTGTCGACGAAGGTAGTTGTCTTCTACACGTACACACACCGACGAAGGTGCCTTCTACAGACAACGAATAAGATGCCTCTCATAGGTACAGACGCCGACGAAGGTGTCTACTGACGTCGTGGATGGTGTCTCCTATACGTACTCTGAGGGCACGGGTGGCAGGGGCTGGTCCTGCTTGTTGCTCTGGCCTACGTACACCCCGCGACGCTGGGGGCCTTGAAGCTGACGACTGGGCAGGGGCGGCAGTGGCCTGTGGGAGGCATCCTCCTCCCCCTCCTCCTCCTCCTCCAGGTTGTTGTTCATCACTTCTATAGGGACCCCAGAAGCGGTGACCCCGGGTACCCCACTACTGACCCCAATTGGTACACCTGGCGTCCCACTGGTGACCCCAGACACCCCGCTAGTGACCCCTGTTGGCACACCTGGAGTTGGAGCTATGACCCCAGTAGTGACCCCGGGAGGGACGCCCCCTGGACTGGGGGTGGAGGACACAGTCCCCCCTAACGTTTGGGTGGCATTTATGGCCGCTCGAGCCTCATTCGCGTTTTTTATGTTGGGTAACGTCTGCACCTGATTGGCTGTGTGTATGACGTTCATGTTGGGTTGAAGAGGCGGCAGGACAGTCTCGACGCCTCTGTTGTCGAGGGCGAGGTGTTGAGGGAGGAGCTCTAGGGCAAGGGGAAACAACTCGTGGTTGTGGAGGGGCGGGTGGTGGTGTCCCTGGCTCAAGGTGTGGCCGGCCTCCCGCAGGTGGGTGGCGGCGGGGGGGTTGTTGTGTCTGTCAGGGCCGGCCATTATGTTGTGGTGGTTCATCATGGTGACGCTGGACGAGATGTTTGACGGCATCAGAGACCGCTGGAGGTTCAGGTTGTTGCGCTCCTCGTTCTTCCTCTTCTTCTTCTTCTTCTTGTTATTGTGGGTGTCGGAGGATGACACGTCGGAGTAATACGCCGACGAAGGTGTCGACGTTGACCCCACAGAGCTCTCAGGCTGCTCCAGCCCCGCTTCGGACAGCACGTAACCCGCGTTCTCGTAGGTGCTCTCGCTGATGTACGCCCGTAGGCCTCCCGCCAGTGTTAACGGCCGGAGGGGGTCGGGAATCTCAGAATACGTATTGAGGGAGTAGGGGCGATAGGATACACCTCCACTGGCGCTCCCGGGCGTCGACGCCGTCGTAGAATTGAGCTCGGCGTAGACAGCGCTCTGTGCGTCAGCGTTGACGTAGGGCTCCTCCGTGTAGGAGTTCTCAGAGCCCTGGGAGGACGCTGGACGGAGAGGACGTTCTTGTGAGGAACCTCGACGCCAGAGTTTCATGCTCCAGCCCGTGTGGGTGGTACCGCCCGTCGCTGCCGCAGGAGCCTCCTCTCCGGTCTTTGTCGCTCCTCCGCCGGCGCTCACCCGTGTCGCCGTGCCGCCAGTACCCCCACCCGTGGCACTGGTGGCCGAGCCCTTCGTCCACGTCCCCCTCAGGAGCATAGGACACGTATCTGTGGGGAAACAACAAATGTATCAGCCTCAGGCTGTACCAGTGATGATGATGATGATGATGATGATGATGATACATAGTACTCATTGTGATTATTGTGGCAGTAAATGCAATAAAAATTGTAATACACACAAGGTATTCCTCTCTCTCTCTCTCTCTCTCTCTCTCTCTCTCTCTCTCTCTCTCTCTCTCTCTCTCTCTCTCTCTATTCATGTTAACACTCGAAATAACCTTACTCAACCTAACCTGTAACTTATAGACTAAAGCCTTTACTAAACCACGACACCACTACTGTATATAAAATTAACAACAAAATAAAAACCCTCAATAATAAACCACCTCTCGAGATAAACCAAATAGCTGTTAAAACGCTCAGGTTGTCTCGGGTTTAACACAAAAAATTAAACCTTCTGACCAAAACGTGGATGGACAATCAAGTCTTTTGTTGTGTTGTAAACCATTGACTATTTTATGACTGGACGCTGGAAGGTGTTGTGTGCAGGAGTCAGGGGGTCCAGGGGTGGGGGAAGGGGTCCAGGAGGAGAAGGGGGTCAACAAAAAATCCAAGGGTCGGGGGGGGTTAGAAGAGATTAAAAAGGGGTAAGGGGGAATTTTTGGGAACTAAGAGGGGGACAGATTCACGCCCTCGAACACAACACAACCCTGGGAGACACTGCAACACCCTGGGGAGACACCAACACCCTGGGAGACACCAACACCCTGGGGGAGACACTGCTTACAGGGGCACTGCACCCTAGGAAGGCATACCACCCTGGGGAAGCTGCTGGTGGTATGACGCCTCGCTGGACAATTAAGGGAGTGTGAGCTCTCCCTTTGGTACGTGGGTGAAGGAATGCGGTAGGAACAACAACAACAACAACAACAACAACAACAACAACAACATCATCAACAACAAAACCAATAACAACAGAAAAAGAAGAAAACAAAGTCCAAGAACAAAAGCAAGAAGAAGAAGAAGAAGAAGAAGAAGAAGAGAAGAAGAAGAAAAGAAAGAAGAGAGAGAGAGAGAGAGAGAGAGAGACTTGGTAGGCATCTATCTAACGTGATCAACTCAGCCCCCATTCCATTTACTGCAGGTTTGGGTTCCATATCACTCAGTTGGAAAATCCTCGATAAGCTCAAGAATTTCCTTTCACTCCCCGGCGGCCATAATCACGGGAGCATCAGTATAAAAGGAGTCCACAGGGTTATAAATGCATTCAGGCGGCCGTGTGTGTCCCTATAAGAGTGTTGGATCCTTCTGTGTACAAGGAGAGTCTGTCATCTATGTAATGTTATGAATACCTGTGTGTGTGTGTGTGTGTGTGTGTGTGAGGTGGTTGGGGATGGTTGATTTGGTGATATGGTAGTGATGGTATGGTAGTAAATATAGCAACAACACCACCATACCCACCATAACCATTATAACCCATTACCACTACCCCCATAACCTTCACTACAACCACTACCACCACCACTACCTAAACCACAACCACTACCACCACCACTACCTAAACCACAACCACTACCACTACCTAAACCACAACCACTACCACCACCACTACCTAAACCACAACCACTACCTAAACCACAACCACTACCTAAACCACAACCCCTACCTAAACCACAACCACTACCCCTACAACCACAACCACTATAAACCACAACCCTACACAAACCACTACCTAAACCCACAACCACTACCCCTAAGCCACAACTAAACCACTACCTAAACCACAACCACTGCACACCACACTACCTAAACCACAACCACTACCACCACCACTACACAAACCACAACCACTACCACCACTAACACCACCACCACCACATCATCACACAAGCACACCACCTCCATCACCACAATTACCACCACTACCACCACCATCTTACCACTATCACCACCATCACCAGAGACACAAGAGAACTTTACCATTTAGATCTAAGATACGTAACCTCTCTTCCTCCTCCCCCTCTCCCTCCTTCTCTGCCTCCCCTCCTCCTCTCTCCCTCCTTCTCTTCCCCCTCCTCTCTCTCTCCCCTCTCTCCCTCCCCTCCCTTTCTCCTTCTCCCCTCCTCCTTCCCCTATGCCTCCCTCCCCCTCCCTCCTCTTCCCCCTCCCCTCCTCCTCTTCCCTCTTCCCCCCTCCCCCCTCCTCCTCTTCCCCCTCCCCTCCTCCTCTTCCCCCCTCCCCCTCCCCCTTTCGCCGTCTTTAGAGAGTTGGAGAAACAAGGATCTCTCCCTCGATAAAGGTCATAGAGACACGACAAGAGACCATTTGTATGGAGAATTCTCACATATTTCTGGAGAATTTGCAGATTTTCTTGTGAGAATTGTTGTGGGGAGACGATAATGGAGATGTCGGGGAGTATGATATTGTTGGGGAGGTTAGGTGGCCCTTTAAAGGTGGGGAGATTGTGGTGGGGTGAGAGATTGTGAGGGAGAGGCTGTGAGGAGAGATTACGAGGGGAGATTATGGGGGAGATTAAAAGGGCGAGAGTATGAGTGGGGAGATTAATAAGGGGAGAATATGAAGGGGAGGGGAGATTATGAAGGGGAGATTAAGAGGGGAAGATCGTTTAAACCTCTTTATAATCTTATCTTTAATATTTTTCACAATTTCATTTTATTTTGGAAGAAATTTATTGATATTATTTTATTTTATTCAATTAACTAATACAATTTTTTACTTACTTTCGTTTTTGTCTGTTTTTTTTTCCTATTTTTATTAATTTTGTTCAGAAGTTTATGTTGGTTACTATTGATAATTTTCTTATTTCTATATTTATAACAATTATTAATATTTCTCTACCTCCTCTCTTTCCTCTCCACTCTTCCTCTTCTCTTTCCCCCTCCACCCCTCTCCTCGTCTCCCCCCTACCCCCACCTCCCTTCCTCCTCTCTCCCCTCCACCCTTCCTCCCCTCCACCACCATTTTTTCATTTGCAAGATATGAAAAAGAGAGACAGGCAATCCTCCCCCATCCACATATGCAAAACTTGTAACACATGAAATAAAGTTGTAACATAGGAACAAAATTGCAACATATAAATCATTACAACATATAATCCTTTGCAACATGAACAAATTAACAAAAAATAAATTAAAAATGAAAATACAACATATGAATATTTTTGCAACATTGATTTTTTGCAACAGAATGAAAATATTTGCAACAATAATTATTTTTTGCAATATATGAAAAAAAATATCTAGGTTATCTGCCCCCCCCCCCTCCCTTCACCTCCCTTTTAAAAAATTTACAGAAACACGAAAAACAAAGACTGGCCCAAAATTCCCTAATACATAAAAGATGTTATTAACTGAGTGAACGGAATATGGAAACGAAAAGAAGAAGAGATACAAAACTGGATGAAATAACAGGAATAGTAGAATAAAATAGATTGGTATATTCTTTTCTATTCTCTTCTATTCTCCCTATTATCCTCTATTCTCCTTATTATCCTCTATTCTCCCTTTCTCCTCTATTTTCCCTTTTGTCCTCTTTTCTCCCTTGTCTCCTTTCTTCTCTTCCCTCTCCCCTTTCTCTCCTCTCTCCTCCCCTTTCTACCTTATAGCCTCCCTTCTCCCTTGTCTCCTTTTTTCTTCCTTTTCCCCTCTCTTCTCCCCTTTCTCCCCTCTCCTCTCTTTTCTCCTCCCTTCTCCCTTTTCTCGTCTCTTCTCCATTTTTCTTCTCTTCTCCCTTCTCTCATCTCCTCTCCCTTCTCTTTTTTCCTTGAGATTTTTTTTAGTAGACAAGAGATGACTTATTCACATATGTTAAGAGATAGAATATTTTTGTCTCTTAATATCCATGTAATGATCAAGATCTTCAAATAACAAGTGAAAAAAAAACCCCATTCTTATCTCTTTTCACTAACGCTATTCATTGTCATTAATATACAGACGAGTATTGGAAGAGAAAGAGAATACTCCGCCCCCTTCACCATCATCACTGGGAATATTCAAACCGAGTGTCATAATATTCAAATAGCCATTGCCGAGTCATTTACCGTGAGCTATTAAAGAAGGAGCTAACAAAGGCATCTAGAGGGAGGTAACAAAGCCATCTTGGGAGCTGGCGTTATATTGAACCTGTCGCAGCTAAACAAAACTGACCAGGAGAGAGAAGAGACCCTTGTGGTACTCCGAGGAACCCCCACTAAATTTTATTGTCCTTTTTGTTCTGTGTAAGGATGATGATGATGGGGGTGGGGTAAGGGACGGCTGGCTAGACACAGGATTCTTCCTTCATCCTCCTTCTTATTCATCTTCCTTCTTCTTTATCCTCCTTCCCTCCTTCATCAGCCCCCCTCCCTAGCCCTCGCATGTGTGTAGAGGAGTGAGAGGGGAGGGACGGCTGGCTAGACACAAGAGTCTTCCTTCATCCTCCTTCCCTTCTCTATCCTCCTTCTTCACGCTTTCACTATCCTTCCCTCCTTCATCCACCCTCCCCCCCCTAGCTCTCTCATGTGTGTAGAGGGAGGTGAGAGAGACCAGCTTCAACTAGACACACGCGTCTTCCTTCATCCTCCTTCCCATCTCTATCCTCCTTCTTCACGCTTTCACTATCCTTCCCTCCTTCATCCACCTTCCCCTCTAGCTCTCTCATGTGTGTAGAGGAGTGAGGGGGGAGGGAGGATGTTGTTCAGTGTAAGGATGGTGGTGGTGAGAGACGGCTGCCTAGATGCAAGAATCCTCCAACCATAATCCTTCATCCTCCTCATCTTTCCTAACTGATGTGTGAGTACTGAGGGAGAGTGAGGGAGGGTGAGGAAGGGGAAGTGAAGGAACGGACGATGATGTTAAGGGATATGGTGAGTAGGGAGATGGAGAGGGTTGAGGAGGAAGATGAAAAAAATAAATAAATAAATAAATAAATAAATATATATATATATATATATATATATATATATATATATATATATATATATATATATATATATATATATATATATATATATATATATATATATATATATATATATATATATATATATATATATATATATATATATATATATATATATATATATATATATATATATATATATATGTAACAAAAATGGGTTGTTTTTGTCAATAGTGATTGGCACTGGGGGTCAGGACAATCTCACAGTGCCACATTGGTCCCATGTCAACCAGGACAGGTGCCAGGGTAAAGCTGGGAAATACTAGGATGTGTTTTTTTTCTCTCGTTTTGACGTCCATGTGTGTGTTTTGAATGATGGGGGCGGGGATGTGCTGGGCTGGGATGACAGAGTTGTGTTTGGCTATTTCTGCACTGGACGAGAGGGTGAGGTAGGCTACTGTGTGTACGTGTAGATGTGTGTATGTTAAAACACACACACACACACACTCCCTCCTCCTTACTGCTCCCACATGCCCTCCTTCGTCCTCCTCTCACCCCCCCCCTCCACATGCTCCTCCTTTCCTCCACACCTCTGACCGCCTCTCTCACAATCTCTTTCTCTTCCTTCCCATTCCTTACCCTCACTTCCTCCTCCCTCTCACCTTCCCTCCCTTCGTCCCTTCCCTCCTCCCCCACCTTCCTCCTTCCTCCTCCCCACCTTCCCTCCCTTCCCTCCCTTCCTCCTCCCTCACCTTCCTCCTCCTCCTCCTCTCCCTTCTCCTTCTCCCTTCCCTCCCTTCCCTCCTCCCCACCTTCCTCCTTCCCTCCCCCTCCTCCTCTCACCTTCCCTCCAACAGAGAGACTCCATCAGCCTTGACTGGAATATTAATTAACATATTTTTTCGCCCCACAATATTAATTAATGTATTTTTTTCAAGAGGGGTCATGGTGGCTGCCTCTTTGGGGTGGGGGAAGAGAGGGGAGAGGATGGAGGAAGG